GGGGAGGGGTGCGCTCGGCCATGAGGAAGTTCGGCTTAAAGACACACGTCCCAGGGGCGTTTCTGGTCTCCATCTGTCGTTTTGCTCCTCAGCATGGCTTCCTAAAAACACTGCAGGATTTCTCAAACATGCATGAATGAGTCAAAGCAAGGTTTTGGGCATGTTTTTATGAGAGTATAACATTATAACATGATATAAAACTCAAAAAAGTTGATTTTACATGATATTGCCCCTTTAAAAAACTAAGTATTGCTGAGAGCACATACTCACTCCAGTCCTTTAGCTTAAATAATAATTTGATAGAGCTACTTTYACTTGTATTGGAGTAATGTTTGACAAGTAGGATCAGTCCTTTGACGCAACTAATCAAACTGAGTACCTGTACTTTGTCCACCACTGATTTAATCTGAGCTGAATTTATTCTCAGCTCAGTTTTTCTGAAACACGATTGCATGCAGGTGATAAACAGAGATAATTGGCTGTCATTTCTGCTTAAAGCACAAGAGCTGCAAAGTTTGAGGAGAGATTTGGAGCCGCTGCCTGACTTCTTTGTTACGCATTGCTGAGTGTGTGAAATAATACTGACAGCAMTAAAGAACACAGCAGTGATCATCAGAAAATAACCACTTTTTATGGGTTTTCTTTTCTTTTTCACTTATGTTTTTCAGTTTTTCAGACTTCTGTGAGGAACACGGGAAACATTAGAACTGTTGYCGTGTGACACCCTGACAAGGTCTCCTCTAAGAAATATTCTTGAATATATTGAAATATTATTGAACTGATAACAGCACGGTGTGTCAGGAAATGATAGGTCAGCACAAACAGAAGCTGTTTGTCGGCTGTTAATGGTATTATTCATGCTCAGTGGCACAGAAACAGGATGATGAGCAAAACAAGTTAAAGAGCACTCAAGTGTCACTCGTATTAAATTTCCTTCAGTCTGTTCAGTGGTGTTACAGTGAAAAGCTGCTCTGCTGCACTGACCCCAATTATGSCTGTTTCAAATATTATACTGAAGGAAATTTGTGATTAATAAATGGAAGTCTRAATAATATAGCAGAAACCCACCGGAATCTCTTCTAAAATCTTTATACTCGTCTCTGACTCCAATCAGCTCCACAGCAGTCCACAGAGTAAGAAGACCTTGGCATCATATTAGAAATGCTTAACAAAACAAAACAGCCCAATATGTGAGATTTCACCTGCTTCTTCTGCACCTTCCTGGTTGACCAGTAATTGGATTGAGCACAGCTGCTGCAGATCTGGATAATGAGTTTCTTGGGTTTATAAGGCTGCACTGAAGACCTGATCCTCTCTGCTGCAACACATACCTGGTGCCACTCTCCTGTCTGGAAACGAGCCTGCCTCAATGATCACTTGTTTATGGATTGGAATACTTACCTCCTGGAACATTCTAACATCCGGGTCTGCCTCCTCCACAAAACCTGTAAGACAAAGAGTCAATATTTGCTATCTCTGCTAATCTCCTCCTGATCAAACTTCCCTTTCAGGACCTATCCCCCTAAATTCCCCTCACTGTAAATAAATCATTTAAATTTTCCTTGAGTCCTGTGAGTTTATCAGTCTGTGCTTGTTTCTCAATTATTTACATCCTGATTGATCGTGATAATTTAATGTAGCTGAACTGGTTACAGGCACTTTAGAATTAAAAAAAAACAGAGATTGTGAAGTGCCCTGAGAAACACTCAGAAACCAGTTACTTTAAACCACTCACTATGTACACACACACACAAAACGTATAGTATGTGTGTTTAAATTAAAACCCAAATAAGGCATGAAACATGTCATTAGTAACAACTGCATCTTGGACACCATTTTATTACATAACAAATAAAAAGCTACATAACATTGAATTCTCATATGCAAATCACAAAACATCTTGCTTATACATTATTGACTTATACCAGCACACGATAACATTCCTGAGTTCACAAACGATCACAACAGCATCTTCTGCAGCTCCTGAAACACACTGGTTGCAGTTTTACATTCAGRTTTTATCTTTAAAGAAACAAAAAAAAATACTTCACAAAAAGCTACATCAATGCATGCACTGCTTGTTAATATATTGTTTGTGGAAAAATAGTTTACTGATAATTTTACAACACATTCAGACATATTTGTTGGCACCCTTCCACAAGTATAAAAATTTGATGTAAATGGAGCCAAAAAGCTGTTTTTGTCTCATCAGTCTCAGGAACTTTCATTTTGGTCACTTCCTGCTCTGCTTTTTTGTGTTTTTCAGTCAATAATTGAGCCCCTGAGTCTTGACTTTTTTTTTTTTGTTTGTTCCCTTTAATAGGCTGAATGGTTGTAGAAAAGGCACCTGTGATCCTAAGGTCAAACACTTAGTTTCAACTGGGTACCAATAAATCTGTTCATAGTATTTTAGTGTTATTTTGTTTCAAGTGAATCAGCTCTTAAGAGAAATAAAACTTAAATGAACAAACACATTTATTCTTGAACTCTTTGTTCAGTCGGATGTCTAGGAGTCTAATATCTTGTTTTTATTGTTCATCACAACTAGGGGGCTGTATTTCTGTTTGTGTACTAATTGACAGGGGAGGAATGGGGCTAATTAAGGTTAAATGATTTTCTGTTCAGGTGTTGTGACAAGGAGGGGCAAACRGTTATTTACTCTGCTTAGTCTGGAGCTCAAAGAAATCATGTGGATGCTTTCAAACTGGATGTAAAGAAGAATAAACAACTTGTAACATAAGTGGAAACAAAGATCGGCATGGTGAGCTTTATTGAGCACACGTAAAAACTAAGTCTACCAGAACAGTCTGCAACAGGTAGCGCTACATACAGGATTTAGCTGCTACAATACTTTTATCCATTTATGCCAAAAAAGGTTGGTGTGCTTTTGCTGATTTGCTTTTTTAAAAAAACACGCCATTTTAGGGCAGATTGATTCTGCGTGCCTCATCCCTGCATGTTCTGCTTGTTTTACAAAAAAATCTTTATATTAAAAAATAGAAAAACAAGCCAGGCCTTCCTGTGTCTCTTGTCTTTTATCAYGTTATGCATCAGTTCACAAATCCAAAGTTTAGAGGAACTGTGAGGTGACAGTGCACAGCATCTGAGGTTGAATATTTTAGCAACGCTTCATGATCAAAAAACTTTGTTGTAAACAGAAAACAGACCACTTTCATGCTTTCCCTGATTTCAGATGCACTTAGTTCATGTAAAAAATATTTTAAAAACACGGATACAAAAAACACATTTCTGTTTTCTGCATATATACAGCTCCAGAACAAATTAACTGCTTGTTTTTCTGAAATCAGCATTTCTATGTGTGACATTTATCCATACGGTGTCTGCTGAATTGCAACATAGTTTTGTTCATTAATGTTCATAAATCATACTTTTTACTTTTTGTTCCAGTTCTTTTTTCTTCTTTTCTTAACTTCTTTATCCTAATTTCAGCTTCCAACATTGTTTAATTTATTAAACTTTTTAGTTTTTATATGCTTTTTAAGCTATTTTTCTGATCTTTTCTGCTATTCCTCTAATTTGAACACTTATGTTCTCTCAGCTGCTTTCTGCTTTTTTCTGTGGTTATTTCTGCTTCTTACTGCTTAATTCAGCAAACATGTTTTTTACTCTTTTTTTTTGTGATAATTTTAACATTTTCAGCTACTGTTTTAGCACTCAGTTTTCAGCAAGTTTCAAGTTTTTTGATGATTTGAAAATTTTCTCTTATTTCAGTGTTTGTTCATTTTAAGTTGTTTCATACTTTAGCTTCTTTTCATTAATTTTAGATACATTTTTTGCTCTTTTCAGATTGTTTTAATCTTTTTTGCCACCTTTCTACTGATTTTCCAC